GGACGTGGACGGAAACAATGTTGGGGTAAGAAACCCTCTGAAAGGACGGCATTGTGCGTTTTTGCTAAGAGCAGTGGAAGAGCTAGATCTGGACCTAGGGTAGGATGTAGAGGATGGCAAATTTGGGACGTGGACGGAAACAATGTTGGGGTAAGAAACCCTCTGAAAGGACGGCATTGTGCGTTTTTGCCAAGAGCAGTAGAAGAGCTAGATCTGGACCTAGGGTAGGATGTGGAGGACGGCGAAAGGGTGGGGAATGCAGTGGCGTAGCCAGGTTATGACGCTAAGGGAAGTGAACACTCTATGTTGATAAAAATAGCTGGACAAATGTCATTGATTTTATGTTTTGGGGGTTTATTTTGGTAGTTAAAACACACCGAAATCCAACATGTAGAAAATTGATGGGGAAAATGGGGGAGTAATGGGATAGAGGAGGGGGGCTTAACCCCTTCCCCATAAACACCGTTGATGAATTCAGAATGCACGTATGTATTCATGCGCTTATCGGAATTTTATAGTTCTTCATCATTCTACACTCAATCGGAGAGCAACAGAAGTAATGCCAGTGGACATTTAGGATCACTGGCCTAAATATAATTATATACAACATTTATTTTTAATGGAACTCAAATAATCTAAAAATAAGTCCAACAAATATATCTTGTCATCCCCCCCCCCCTTTTTTTTTTCTCCTCCGTTTACCAGATCCCGGGTACAAGACGCGCGTTGGATCTCAGCGTTACGTCTGTTTCAACAACCAGCTGTTGTCACCAGGGCCGTGCCGAGGAAAAGCGGCGCCCCGTGATGAAGCATAACAACTATTACCGCGCGCCCCCCCCCCCCTGATGTTGGCGCCCGGTGCGCGTGCTCCCTTTACTCCCTCCCTCTTCACACATTTGAATGCTTACCCAGGCGGCAATAGAAACCCTCCTATATAACGCCTTTCTACTTTAACTGTTCGCCTTTCTACTTTAACTGTTCGCCATTCCCTTTCTTCGCTAACTCAAGGATGGGACAAATTTAGCAGTCACTTTGGGGAAATAGTGTCGATGGTGGGCCGTCGAAAAATTAAAACAAGAGAATAAAACTTTATGTGGTAAGTTGTTTAAAATGGTAGTCGGACTGCAATAGGCTGCGATAGAAAGTCTAAGATATTCTTCCTGGACAACAACAAAAAAAGCATCAAATGAAATAACGGTGAATTTTATTTTGAGCAAACCCTTCATTTCTGAAGAGCAGAAATTTCTGTTGAACCTCGAGGGAGGAGTTCTTCTCAAGCATTTCGGGCGTTTAAAACAGAAAGATTTCGGATCCACTTATACTGTTCCGTGTTTGATGAATAAAATCATGGGTCAAATTGTCTCTGCAGTGTTGTTAGATGATGTTGCACCAAGTCCAATTTTTTCAATACATGTTTCCAACTCAACAAAACAAAAATCACCAGGGATCTTACTTCCTTGGAATTATGAGTCCCAAGCATAATCAGGCCCAATCATTTTTAGGCCAAATAATTATTAGGTCCAAGCATTATTATTTCCATAGAGGCCGGCCATCCGTCCGACATAATGTGACACATGGCGTAGACTTAGCTGGGCGAAATCACAAGGCCTGAGATTTTATTCTGGATAACCGAAGGGAATATCATATCCAGTTGATACAGCTTGGCACTAGTTGCGGGACTTTGGATTGTACCAACGTTATCCACT